TTACCCCAAAATTTCCGCGAAATTCCTGTGAAATTCCTGCAAAAATTAAAAAAAAAATTTCCTACGAAATTCTTGCAAAATTCTCCCAAATTCCTGAAAAATTCCCGCCAAAATTTGGGGCAAATTTGGGGGCATTTTGGGAATATTTTGGGACATTTTGGGGACACATTTGGGACATTTTGGGACACTTTGGGACACATTGGACACAAATTTGGGGATAAATTTGGGACATTTGGGGACATTTTGGGAAATTTTGGGGACATTTTGGGGACACTCCGAGCTCCGCGACCTTCTCAAAATGGCGCCCTCAACGCGCCGCCGGAAGTCACCACCGAGACCGCGGCTGCACCGCCCGTTTCCCGGAAGTGCCGCTCTGCCCCTCCTCGTCCCCATCTCTATGGTCGGTCCTCCAACCCAATTTTTTCGCATTTTTCCCTTTTTTTCCTGGATTTTCCCCATTTTTTTCGTTGATTTTCCCCATTTTTTTCCCCCAAAATGCCTCAACCCCGCCATCCCAACGTCCCCAAGCCCCGGGGGTGTCCCCTCGTTTCCCGGTGTCCCCTCATGTCATCCGCGACCAACGCCACCATCATGGCGCCGCCGGAAGTTACCACAGAGACGGCGGCTGCACCGCCCCTTTCCCGGAAGTGCCGCTCTGCCCCTCCCCTCCTCCAACTCTATGGTCGGTCCTCCAACTCAGTTTTTCCGCATTTTTCCCGTTTTTTCGTGGATTTTTCCCGTTTTTTCCGTGTTCTTTTTTCCCATTTTCCCTATTTTTTCACCCAAAACGCCTCAACCCCGCCATCCCAACGTCCCCAAGCCCCGGGGGTGTCCCTTCGCGTCACCCGTGACCAGCGCCACCATCATGGCGCCGCCGGAAGTCACCACAGAGACTGCGGCTGCACCGCCCCTTTCCCGGAAGTGCCGCTCTGCCCCTCCCCGTGCCCAACTCTATGGTCGCTCCTCAAACCCAATTTTTCCCATTTTTTCGTGGATTTTTCCCATTTTTTCTTGGATTTTTCCCATTTTCCCCATTTTTTCCCCCAAAACGCCTCAACCCCGCCATCCCAACGTCCCCAAGCCCCGGGGGTGTCCCCTCATTTCCCGGTGTCCCCTCATGTCATCCGCGACCAACGCCACCATCATGGCGCCGCCGGAAGTCACCACAGAGACGGCGGCTGCACCGCCCCTTTCCCGGAAGTGCCGCTCTGCCCCTCCCCGCCTCCAACTCTATGGTCGGTCCTCCAACCCAATTTTTTCGCATTTTTCCCATTTTTTCGTGGATTTTTCCCGTTTTTTCCGTGTTCTTTTTTCCCATTTTCCCTATTTTTTCCCCCAAAACGCCTCAACCCCGCCATCCCAACGTCCCCAAGCCCCGGGGGTGTCCCTTCGCGTCACCCGTGACCAGCGCCACCATCATGGCGCCGCCGGAAGTCACCACAGAGGCTGCGGCTGCACCGCCCCTTTCCCGGAAGTGCCGCTCTGCCTCTCCCCGCCCCCAACTCTATGGTTGGTCATCCAACGTTATTTTCGCGGATTTTCCCCATTTTTTCGTGGTTTTTTCCCATTTTCTCCATTTCTTCCCCAAAACGCCTCAACTCCGCCGTCCCAACATCCCCAAGCCCCGGGGCTGTCCCCTCATTTCCCGGTGTCCCCTCATGTCATCCGCGACCAACGCCACCATCATGGCGCCGCCGGAAGTCACCACAGAGACCGCAGCTGCACCGCCCCTTTCCCGGAAGTGCCGCTCTGCCCCTCCCCGCGCCCAACTCTATGATCGGTCCTCCAACCCAATTTTTCCCATTTTTTTCTTGGATTTTTCCCATTTTTTCGTGGATTTTCCCCATTTTTTCGGTTTTTTTTTCCATTCTCCCCATTTTTTCCCCCAAAACGCCTCAACCCCGCCATCCCAACGTATCCAACCCCCCCAAATTCAGGACACTTCGCGTTGGGGGGGAGGGGGCTGAGACCTTTTTATTTTGGGGACATTTGGGGACAAATTCGGGACATTTTGGGGACATTTTGAGGGAATTTTGGGAAAATTTGGAGATTTTTGGGGACATTTTGAGGAATTTTTGGGACATTTTGGTGCCATTTTGATGCAATTTGGGGACATTTTGGGACATATAAATTTTGGGACATTTGGGGGGATTTGGGGACATTTTGGGGACACATTTGGAAAATTTTGAGGAAATTTTGGGGACAAATTGGCGACATTTTGAGGGATTTGGGGACAAATTTGAGGACATTTTGGGGACATTTGGGACATTGAGATTTGGGCACATTTTGGGGGATTTGGGGACATTTTGGGGACATTTTGGGACATTGAAATTTTGGGGACATTTTGGGATATTTTGGGGCCATTTTTGTGCCATTTCGGTGCCATTTGGGGACAAATTTGAGACATTTTTGGGACATTTAAATTTTGGGAACATTTGGTGCCATTTGGGGACATTTTGGGGACATTTGGGGACACATTTTGGGACATCGGGATTTTGGGGACATTTTGAGGAATTTTTGGGACATTTGGGACATTGAAATTTTGGTGCCATTTTGGTGCCATTCCGGTGCCATTTTGGGGACATTTTGGGACATCGGGATTTTGGGGAGATTTTGAGGGATTTGGGGACATTTTGGTGCCATTTTTGTGCCATTTTGAGGACATTTGGGGACAAATTCGGGCACTTTTGGGGAAATTTTGGGGCCATTGAAATTTGGGGACATTTTGGGGACATTTGAGGACATTTTGGTGCCATTCCGGTGTCATGTCCGCAGCCGCGCGCAGATCCCCGCGATGACAAAAGCCACCAGGGCCACCCCGGCCATGTCCTCCAGCCCGGGCTCGGGGACACCTGAGGGGACAATTGGGGACATTTGAGGAAAAATTTGGGGACATTTGGGACAAATTTGGGACATTTTGGAAAATTTTGGGGAGATTTGGGGACAAATTTGGGGACATTTGGGGGATATGGGGACAAATTTGGGACATTTTGGGAACATTTTTATGACATTTCAGGGTTATTTGGGGACACTTGAGGACAGTGGGGACATCAGGGACATTGTCACCAACCCCACCCCCGCCACCACCAGATGTCCCCAAATCCATCCCAGTTGTCCCCAAATCCATTCCTGATGTCCCCAGGTGTCCCCAACTCCATCCTTGATGTCCCCAACTCTGTTCCTGATGTCCCCAATTCCATCCCAGGTGTCCCCAGCTCCATTCCTGATGTCCCCAAGTGTGTCCTCGATGTCCCCAACCGCATTCCTCAATGTCCCCTAGTGTCCATAACTCCATTCCAGATGTCCCCAAATCCATTCCAGATGTCCCCAAATCCATTCTGGATGTCCCCAGGTGTCCCCAAAGCCACCCCAGGCGTCCCCAGCCCCATACCCGATGTCCCCAACCCCATTCTGAATGTCCCCAAATCCATTCCAGATGTCCCCAAGTGTCCCCAAACCCTGTCCAGATGTCCCCAAGTCCATCCCAGGTGTCCCCAACTCTGTTTCTGATGTCCCAAACCCCATTTTTGATGTCCCCAGGTGTGTCCCCAATCCTGATCCTGATGTCCCAAAATCCATTCCAGATGTCCCCAAGTGTCCCCAAACCCTGTCCTGGTGTCCCCAAATCCATCCCAGGTCTCCCCAACCCCATCCCAAGTGTCCCCAACTCCATCCCAGCTGTCCCCAACCCTGTCCCCAAATGTCCCTAAGTGTCCCCAACCCCATTCCTGATGTCCCCAACCACATTCCGAATGTCCCCAAATCCATTCTTGATGTCCCCAAACCCTGTCCAGATGTCCCCAACTCCATTCTCGATGTCCCCAGGTGTGACCTTGATGTCCCCAACCCCATCCCAAGTGTCCCCAACCCCATCCCCGATGTCCCCAAGTGTCCCCAAACCCTGTCCTGGTGTCCCCAGGTCCATCCCAAGTGTCCCCAACCCTGTCCCCAATGTCCCCAACCCCATTCTTGATGTCCCCAAGTGTCCCCAAACCCTGTCCAGATGTCCCCAACTCCATCCCAGGTGTCCCCAATCCCATCCCAGGTGTCCCCAACTCCATTCTTGATGTCCCCAAGTGTCCCCAACTCTGTTTCTGATGTCCCCAACTCCATCCCAAATGTCCCCAAATGTCCCCAAGTGTCCCTCACCTGTGACGGTGACGCTGACCCTCTGCCGCGTCCCCTGGTGTGTCACCACGCAGCCCAAGGTGTCCCCAATGTCCCCAAATGTCCCCAGGTGTGTCCTCAATGTCCCCAAGCCCATCCTGAATGTCCCCAAACCCATCCCAAATGTCCCAAAGTGTCCCCAACTCCATTCAAGATGTCCCCAACCCTGTCCCCAATGTCCCCAGGTGTGTCCTTGATGTCCCAAAGTGTCCCCAAACCCTGTCCAGATGTCCCCAACTCCATCCTCGATGTCCCCAAGTGTCCCCAAACCCTGTCCTGGTGTCCCCAGGTCCATCCCAGGTGTCCTCAACCCCATCCCAAGTGTCCCCAACTCCATTCCTCAATGTCCCCAAATGTCCCCAAGGCCATCCCCAATGCCCCCAAGTGTCCCCAACCCCATTCCCGATGTCCCCAACTCCATCCCAGGTGTCCCCAACTCCATTCCTGATGTCCCCAAATCCATTCTTGATGTCCCCAAACCCTGTCCAGATGTCCCCAAGCCCATCCCAAGTGTCCCCAACCCCATTCTTGATGTCCCCAATCCTGATCCTGATGTCCCAAAATCCATTCCAGATGTCCCCAGGTGTCCCCAAACCCTGTCCTGGTGTCCCCAACTCCATCCCAGGTGTCCCCAAGTGTGTCCTCGATGTCCCCAACTCCATTCCTCAATGTCCCCAAATGTCCCCAAGGCCATCCCCGATGTCCCCAACCCCATCCCCGATGTCCCCAACCCTGTCCCTCACCTGTGACGGTGACGCTGACCCTCTGCCGCGTCCCCTGGTGTGTCACCACGCAGCTGAAGGTGTCCCCCGGTGCCACCGCCGCTGTCACCCTCAGCCCCGCGCTGCGCCCGAAGGTGCCATCGGCCGCTCGCCGGTGGCCGGAGCTCCAGGCGGCCACTCCGGGGGTGGCCACGCCCACGGTGACACCGCGGGTGACACTTCCGGTGACACTTTTGGTGACGTCACTTTTGGTGACACTTCGGGTGACACTTCCGGTGACACTTCGGGTGACACTTTGGGTGACGTCACTTTGGGTGTCACTTTGGGTGACGTCACTTTGGGTGTCACTTTGGGTGTCACTTTGGGTGACACTTTGGGTGTCACTTTGGGTGACGTCACTTTGGGTGTCACTTTTGGTGTCACTTTGGGTGACGTCACTTTGGGTGTCCCTTTGGGTGACACTTCGGGTGACATCACTTTGGGTGTCACTTTGGGTGACATCACTTTGGGTGTCACTTTGGGTGTCACTTTTGGTGTCACTTCGGTTGACACTTTGGGTGACGTCACTTTGGGTGACGTCCCTTTGGGTGTCCCTTTGGGTGACGTCACTTTGGGTGTCACTTTGGGTGACGTCACTTTGGGTGTCACTTTGGGTGACGTCACTTTGGGTGTCACTTTGGGTGTCACTTTGGGTGACGTCACTTTGGGTGTCACTTTGGATGTCCCTTTGGGTGACGTCACTTTTGATGTCACTTTGGGTGACGTCACTTTGGGTGTCACTTTGGGTGTCACTTTGGGTGACGTCACTTTGGGTGTCCCTTTGGGTGTCACTTTTGGTGTCACTTTGGGTGACACTTTGGGTGTCACTTTGGGTGTCACTTTGAGTGACGTCACTTTGGGTGTCACTTTGGGTGACGTCACTTTGGGTGTCACTTTGGGTGACGTCACTTTTGGTGTCACTTTGAGTGTCACTTTGGGTGTCACTTTGGGTGACGTCACTTTTGGTGTCACTTTGGGTGTCACTTTGGGTGGTGTCACTTTGGGTGACGTCACTTTTGGTGTCACTTTTGGTGTCACTTTGGGTGACGTCACTTTGGGTGTCACTTTGGGTGACGTCACTTTGGGTGTCACTTTGGGTGTCCCTTTGGGTGACGTCACTTTGGGTGTCACTTTCGGTGTCACTTTTGGTGTCACTTTGGGTGACACTTTGGGTGATGTCACTTTGGGTGTCACTTTTGGTGTCACCCGGAGTGACCGCTCGAGTGACCTCCCAGGTCACGGTGACATCCAGCGGGAAAAATCCGACGGCGTCGCAGCGCAGCTCGGCCGGGACACCCGGGAGGAGGTGGGATGGACGGAGCGTCACTCGGGGAGGGGCTGGGGACAAACTGGGAGTTACTGGGATGGACTGGGAGGGAAATTTTGGGAAAAAAATGGGGGAAAATGGTGAAAAAAAACGGGGAAAAAATGGGGGAAAAATTGGGAAAAATGGGGAAAAATGGGAGTTTTGGGGTGAAAATCGATGGGAAAATGGGGCAAAATGGGGATTGGGGATACTGGGAATGGGCAGGGATGGACTGGAATGGAAATTGAGGGAAAAAAATGGAAAAAAAATGGGAAAAAATGGGAAAAAAGGGGTATTTTGTGAATGGAAATTGAGAAGGAATGGGATGGACTGGGAATGGACTGGGATGGACTGGGATGGACTGGGATGGACTGGGAATGGACTGGGATGGACTTGGATGGAAATTTTGGGGACAAAATGGGGAAAAAATGGGGAAAAATGGGGAATAATGGGGAAAAATGGGGAAAAATGGGAGTTTTGGGGGTGGAAATGGGGAGGGAATGGGGATTGGGGATACTGGGATGGACTGGGAGCACTGGGAGCTCGGCCGGGACACCCGGGGGGAGCTGGGATGGACGGAGCGTCACTCGGGGAGGGGCTGGGGACAAACTGGGAGTTACTGGGATGGACTGGGAGGGACTGGGATAAACTGGGAGGGGAATTTTAGGAGAAAACAGGGAAAAAATGGGGAAAAAATGAGGAAGTCATTCCAGTCATTTCCAGTCCATTCCAGTATTTCCAATCTCCATTTTCCCCCCATTTTTCCCCATTTTTCCACCATTTTTTTCCCAATTTCCCCCATTTTTTCACTCCCAGTCCCTCCCAGTCCATTCCCAGTTTATCCCAGTTTATCCCAGTCCATCCCAGCACTGACCAATCACGTCCAAGCGCAGCGGCTGCTGGAGGTGCCCGCGGGGCGTGGTCACGGAGCAGATGAAGGATCCATTCCCAGTCCCTCCCAGTCCATCCCAGTCCATCCCAGTTTATCCCAGTCCATTCCCAGTCCATCCCAGTCCATTCCCAGTCCCTCCCAGTCCATCCCGGTATTTCCAATCCCCAATTTTTCCCATTTTTCCTCATTTTTCCACCATTTTTTTCCCAATTTTCCCCATTTTTTCCCCGTTTTTTCGCTCCCAGTCCCTCCCAGTTTATCCCAGTCCATCCCCAGTCCATTCCAGTCCATCCCAGGATTTCCAATCCCCATTTTTTCCCCATTTTTTGCCATTTTTTCCCATTTTTCGCCATTTTTTCCCCCGTTTTTTTCCCAATTTCCCCCATTTTTTCACTCCCAGTCCCTCCCAGTCCATTCCCAGTTTGTCCCAGTTTATCCCAGTTTGTCCCAGTCCCCTCTGGCACTGACCAATCACGTCCAAGCGCAGCGGCTGCTGGAGGTGCCCGCGGGGCGTGGTCACGGAGCAGATGAAGGTTCCGCCGTCGGACACCGAGAGCGGCGGCAGCTGCAGGGAAACCTCCACCACGGCGCCCCCTGCTGCCTGGGAGGAACAAAAAAATTAAATTTATTTATTATTTTTAATTATTTTTAAATTATTTTAATTATTATTATTGCTATTATTACAGTTATTATTATTATTGTTATTATTTGCAAGACAGTGGTGCCCCCTGCTGGCTAGGAGGACTAAAAAATTATTTATTATTTAAAATAATTGTTATTGTTGTTGTTATTATTATTATTATTATTATTATTATTATTATTATTATTATTATTATTATTGCAATCATTATTTTTATTATTATTAATGCTATTATGTAGAAATTAAAAATTATTCCATGGCAGTGGCACCCCCTTCTGCCTGGGAGGATCAGAAAAATAAAAATTATTTTAAATAATTTCAAATTATTAATATTATTAATATGATTATTATTGTTACTATTAAACTATTATTATTTATTGTAATTATTATAATTATTATTATTATTAGTGTTATTATTTACAAATTAAAAAGTATTTCCATGACAGTGGTGCCCCCTGGTGCCTGAGAGGAATAAAAATTAATATTAAATTATTTTAAATTATTTATTATTATTATTATTATTATTATTATTATTATTATTTACAAATTAAAAGAAATTTCCATGACAGTGGCGCCCCCTGGTGCATGGGAGGACCAAAAATATTTAATTATCATTATGATTATTATTATATTATTATTATATTATTATTTTTTTTAATTATTGCTATTATGGTAGTTATTATTGTTATTATTATCAGTTTTATTGTTTAGAAATTGAGAATATTTTCATATCTGTGATGCCCCCTGCTGGCTGGGAGGACCAAAAAATATATTATTTTAAGTTATTATTATTATTAATAAAATTAATATTATTATTATTATAGTTATTATTATTTTTACTACTATTAAGTTAAAAATATTTCCATGACAGTGGCGCCCCCTGGTGGATGGGAGGACCAAAAATTTCCAGGCCCAAACTCCCCTCCCCCGCCGCCATCTTGTCCCCTCCCCCTCCACC